ATTAAATTCTAGTCATTGCCATGGAAACCATAATGCATATCTAGCAGAACATGCATTGTGACATTTTAAATAATATTTCTTGCTATATTCCACTGTCATTTTGGATAGAAGTATTTTCATGCTAATTTTAGATCTGATGCAGTGGAAATACAGTATATATCCAGACCACTTACTTTAAAATGTAATACCAAATGATTGAGTAAAGAAGCTTCTCATGATGCTAACCTTCATGTTTATATTTCATGTAGCTAATAATGTATCTGTAATATTTACTTTTTATGTATAAAGCCCACTTTTATGTTTAAAAGGCTCCCAGAGCTGATCTTGATTAAGCAAAATCTTGGTATACAGGTTTCATTTCAAACAGGTAGTTCAGAGTTTAGTATTTTAAAATTTAACAGAGAATATGAGATGCATAAAGAAGACCAAACCAAAGTCAGTCGCCGTTTTTTGAAATGTGTAGTGTCTACTTCTTTTGATTTGGTTGAAATGGAAATGTAGGATAGCCAATTTAATGCAGTTACTGAATTTTGCAGTCCATAAATAGAGAAATCACTTCAACTTCCAGCAAATTGTCCTCCCCAAGATCTAAACTGATTTAGTCATTGATTTTATAGCTTTCATTTCCTCTAGGAAAGGTGGGATACAAATGAATCTCCCTCACTTATCCCATAGCAGAAAATGTTGTGAGACAGGTGGAGCTCAAGAAAAATAACTGGACCAAGGTTACCTGGGTGTCCATAATCCCATGCCAATACAAAAATCAATATGTTATGCAGGCTACTTTATATTGTACCATGCCCTCTGGATGAGTTTTAAGGGAGATTAAAATTGGCAGACAATATCATTTTTTGCATTGTGTTAGTACAAATTAGTATCTTATTATGTTAAGTAAATAATAACAACCAACCTCAGGATGGCAAACATTTCAAGTCCCTATTTTTGTATTTTTGTTCCATTGTTAGCTGTCCAGCATTCCTTGCTACTTTCTTTTGGCTCTAGTCATTACAGCTGGCTTGTTCCAGGGTTTTTCTGTTAAAGTAATTTGAATCTTCCCAAAGATATGTTACATTTACAAATTGGATTGTTAATCCTTATTTCTGTCCTTAGCTGTCATTCCTTTGCTATCATTCCAGTGTGGTCACAGCATGAGATATGACTGTTTACAGTTGTATATTTTATTATCCAGAGAGAAGACTGGCAGAAGCATGAACAGTCATTAACAGAAACTGTTTTTTCCAGAGCTCTCTAAGAGTTAGCTGAGGAAGTAATTTTGTGTCTGATTTAAGTTTTTTTTAAAGAATCCAGTCTCCTTTAGAAACCATCCTTATCTGCTGTTTAAACAAAACAGCAACCCCTCCATAAAACTGACTTGAACAAGCATCAGCATACTTCTTTACACTGAACATGTGTATATCCTGCATTTGCTAAATTTTTGCCTTCTGTCTCACAACAGAAATTTGAGTTAGACAGGTGAGAGTGGGCCATGCTTGTATGCCTGTTACCTTTCAAACTTCCCATGCCCCTTGCTTACAAGGGTTTCCTGATATAAATATCCACCAAATCTAAGTTTTACTTTATTTGTTGGTGTCTCTTATGGTCTTAACATTTATTGGGTTAACTTCCAAAGGACCTTTGGGTAATATAGAAAGAATGGAGTAAGTAATGGAATAAATACCATGAATTCTTGTTTTGCTTCTTTATTTGTGGATTTATATCCTGCCTTTCCATTAATTTGCTGGTTCAAGTGGGAGTTCAGTGTTGTGCTTAGGCTTACTAGACACCCAGCAAATCCTAACCCTTCTTCTTTGTCCTCATATCCTCCACATAGCCTTAAACGTACACATTGTCTGGGTTTTGACAACTTATTATGTTATTGTTGTTCTTCAGACTATTTTAACAATACTAGTAATTGAAATTGAAACTGGTCATTTTCTTTCTGCCTTTCATCAGTTGTCTAGATTTACATTATTTATTTCCAGAATCCAGCAATCAGCTTCAATCCAATCCCTTCAAATCTGTGATCACTATAATCTATAAATCACACGACTCATATATTTCTATGATGAAATTTGCAAAGCTTGGCATCATCAATTCTGTATTATTACTAGCATATATTTTTAAAAATAAAGATCTGTTCTAAAAATATTGAAATTAAAAAACCAGTCTGGTGCTGGAAAAAGTAATTTCATATACCTGTAGGCCTAAGAACATTTTTTGTGATTTTTCACTGTAATTTTCCTCACAGATGTCAAGAAATTTAATAGAGTGTCTTCTTTTCCACCATTTGTCCTTCTTTCCAATTGTCCATGTCCTCCTTTGTCTGTTCTGGTAACCCTAGCTGTGCTAGAGTTAGAGACAATCATCTTTATTTTCCAGAAATATCAGTGCCAGGAAAACAAAATAAAACTTTGGTTCATTGGGAAAGCACAGAAAATCAAAACTACATTTGTGGAGAGTAAGGAAGTTCATATACTCAAATTTTGAAAAATAACAGTTATATTTCACATTTGCGCTTCTACCCAAAATTTAAGCATAATTTTCTCTAGGCAAGTTCTAATTATAGGTTTAACTTTCCAGTGTACATTTCAATTATAATATGTATATGAAATAATGATTTTCCTTCACATAATAACAGAGGATCAGAAATAGAAAAACAATTGCATGGGTGAGTTATTTTTTCTGGCAAATGGTATTTTCCTCCAAATGCCAGTTATGATCTCCAGGCCTGTTTTATTCCTTTGCAGAAAGACTGTGGAACTTTCCTCTAACACTAATTCAGAAACATTGATGAATTATGGTCTAGCGAGAATGCTCAAGACAGCAGAGTTGTGTCCTTGACCAGAATGTAATACTTGATCTCTTGTTGTCCTGTTCCACAGCATTTGTCATAAATGTAATCTGTTGATATTACATGTGACATCAATGTTCAATAGCCAACATTTAAAAATATGTTATGATTTTTTTTTCAATTGGATCATTGATGTTTTAGTTGATATTATTGATTATTGTTTGACTATATGTGATGGTCTATATTTAATGAACTAATACATTAAAAATGCCAGATTCTTCACGTTACATACATTGAAATCAGTGTTATGTGCTTCTAAATTAATGTGACTAGGATTAGGCTGTATGTGACATTTAAAGAAACTTTAGAAGTTAAGATATTTGATCATGAATAAAAAAAATAACATTTCGTTTAGTTGTAGAATTAAATGTTGCGCTGTGCATTTCTACCTTCTGAAGTAAGATGGGTAAAAACATTTCTCTTTTAATTAAAAGAATATTTCCTACTTTCCTACAAATTGCATTATCAATTAAGAAATTTAATTTTCCCCATTCTTTCTTTCACTGTACTGCACAACTTACATATGCAGTGGACACATTATGAAGTCATTAGAAATTTCATTTTCAATAAGACCATTATTATTCTTTTTATTTTCTAAAATTGTCTCACTGTCAAATTCTCCAGACTGTCACTGCTGCCATAATTGATTATTCCAGTTTCTCTATATTATTGATTCATATACAAATGAGCACCTTAACATGTATCAAGATCAGGATCAAGACACAGAATCAGTCCAGCTTTGATGTGATTCTTTTCCATCTGAAGTGTTGGAACACTAGTGACTTCCTGAGTCTTAGCCTGGTGAATGCCCACTATTGTCCAGCCCAGTGTTAAGAGTAGTGGCACTGCAGTGTGTCAGAAATTGGGTCAGGTTCCCTAGCTATAAGTGAGGACACAAAAAGTAAAATTGATAAAAGGAAGGATATTTTACGCCCTAATACCTGCCCTCAATTTAGAGCATTGATAGGTCACGTAACCCACCAAAATAAAATAAAAGTACTGAAAACCTCAGTCTTTCTTTCAAAATATACACCTAGTGCACAGACTATGGGGTGAACATCCTCTGGGAAGACATCAGATATCTTAATCCATAAAACTGGGCATATCCTCTGCTTTTTCAAAACAGTTCAGAGCTGTACTATTCCCTTACATAATTATAGGTAGTAATGTACATAGAGAATTGTTCATTGAAAATCATATGTATAAATCAGAAATATATAGTATTAAGTTACTCAGATATAAAGGTGTTAATCAAGTTGTTACTATTCTGTGTTCTTTCTCATGTTACTACTTATAAAGCCAACAGCAAATGTCTGATATTAATCTTTAGATACATTTCACAGGCTTTAAAGCTAATTGAATTAATTGGATTACACAGGTCATCCAAAAAACAGCCGAAGTCTATTCTCACTGCTATTTATTGTGTTTATTTTCTGTGCATAATGAAAATGTTTACATTTTTGTATGTAAATAAGAATAAGTCACTTGTTTTGAATTCTTATTCAATTAAACTTATAAAAACATAAAAAAGATATAAACATCATGAAAGGAACTACTAAAGTTATTTACTCAGAAGCAAGCAGAACTGAGTTGATAACGTACTCGTACGCGTGCTGGGTTGCAGCCAGGCTTTTGATAATCAGTGAAACAATATAATTGTACTTCTTGAATGCATCATAATATTTTCTCTTTATTGTTCAAATCGTCTGTACTATTTTCCTAAACTGCTTCCTGAAACTTGTTAGCACTTTGCAAAATGTGGAGGATGGTGATTCCAATGATTGTGAGTAGTAAAGGCTAATTTGGGAATCATTCACACTAGAAATTTCTGTTTCATGGAACGAAGCCCATTAGTAATAGCAAAGCTAAACAATGCAAGACTGTTGCTATGTAAGAGACTGTTTTTCATAAAGATACGTTAAGTCATTTTATTACAGATTCACTCCATAATGAATCACGTACATGACTCACATTTAAGCCAGTTCTTTTTCTTAATTTAGAAATTCTTTTCATAAAGTATGTTACAGTTCTGGTGGATATTTATTTCTATTAGTTGGATATAAACTATTTGTTGCTTGAAAATATTTGAATATTAGTCTTTATTAGGGGTTTTGTGTTTTGTTGTTTAACACTGAGTTTATTCTTGTAGATTGTGGAAAACAAATGAAAGTTGTTTTCAGAGAATCATCTGAAGAACACCTTCAGCCCTTTAAGGATAAGTTTGAAGATTTTTTCTGTGAAGGTACGTACTTTTCAATCTGTTTAAGCACATGCCCATTCTTGATATATTTCAATTCAAATCTGTTTTTAATTATTGGTTCAGATTTATGCAGAATGTGGTTCACATTTCTTTATATAGGTGAAAAAAACATTTCCAACTGGTATCAGAAATTACATCATTTACCTTAGCTTATCTTCACATGTTCTGGGGCATTCCAAACATAATTCTTCAACTTCAGTCAGTTTAAAGTAGATTCCATATCTTCTTTCCATTCCCTGTCTTCAAATCATTTGTGATATAGGATTTATACCTTCTCTTGTTTCTTTCACTTTTTGAGTGGGTCTATTGTCACTGACATTAGATGATAATTGTCTTTATATGTTAGTTACAATATACTAGTATTAATATATTGAAACATAGTAATTTATCAATGTGGTTTTATATGGCTAACAGTATTTTTTATATTTTTATATCATCTAAATATATTTACACCACCTTCACTAAGATTTACAGTATCTCTTAGTTAATGTACAATAAGATTGTAACCCAGCAACTATACTACTACATACCAACTAATGTTTCCAAAAAGAAGTGTAATACATGTATTAAGCTTCCTCATAAACTCAGTAGCAATAA